CAAGCAGAGACTGATCGCGACGTTGCTCTAAATCAAGACGTTCCCATGGACGATGTGCGGGACATGGTCATGGGAGAGCTCGTCGGTTTCTACGGCCTCGCTATGGAGGATGCCGTGAGCAACCTCTACAGCAACTGGCGGGAAGAGGAAGCTAGATTATCGGACTTGGTGTGCGACGGCAACGACGGCTTCCACAAATACCCTCACGCCGTTGTGCTTTCCGACGAAAAGCCTTCGCAGTCGCTGTCTGATGATTTGTTCTCGCCCCCCAAGCGAAGTTCTGGGGCGGTGGCGTTGAAATCCGACGCATCGCAGACCGAGAGCGAGCCTGAGGGGGGACTTAACCTTGCGAATGAGCTCGAAGGTTGCAACAGCCAGTCCTCCATGGTAAGATGAATCGATACTCTCGAGACTGGAGAACAACACTAATTGCATCCACAGGAACCGGAAGAGAACCAGAGCAGCCCTAATCGAACACAACAGACACTCGAGGATGAACTCGCCAGGCTTGATAGAGTGTCTTCGGCAGTGAGTTCAAGCCCCTACATTCTTGAGATAATACTAACCAGTGTGCAGGGCTCCCAGGGGAGCAAGATCGGCCAAGGGGACGTCTCACTTGAGCTTCGCAATACTCGGAAAGCATTGGATGAGTGTCAACATCTTCGCAAGGAAGCTGACAAGGAGATCAAAGAACTCAGAGACGATGCCAAGAAACTTGTTGATGAGATTGCGGAGCTAAAAGCAAGTGCTCGCGTGCTGGAGCAGAGCATCAAGGAGGGCGAAACCATTGCCGGCCGAATGAGGGAAGATGCCAACGGAATTTCGGCCATCCAGGCGCGCGACGAAGACGAAGCCGAGACCAGTCGCAAATATGCCGACAATAAGATCAAGGACCTAGAAGCTACGCTCAAGCAACGGACTAAGGAGCTCAAGAAATTCAAGCAGAGGGACAATTTCATGTCGCAGGTCTCTGAGCAGCTCAAGGGGCAATTGAGCGCAGTCCACCACAAACTCGGCAAAGTTGAGGCAAAAGCTGCGTTTGCCTGCGCGCGAGAGAAGCTGGCACGAGAAAAGTTGGCACAAGAGGTGGCCACAGCGGACGAATCGAGCATCACGTCGAGCTTGCCGGACGATCCGGGTGAACACCTTCAGCTTGTGGCCGACTTGATCGACCGCGTGGACAAGGCGGAGAGCGACCAGGCGGCGAGCCGCAAAGATCTTCAAGAGATCCAAGATATGGTGTCAGGCCTCGATGAGGATATCAAGCATCTCCGGGACGAAAGGGACAGTCTGGCTCTTGAGAGAAACCAGCTACTAAAAGAAAAGGTGAAACTGGCGCAACAGAAAGATGCGTTAAAGGAGGATCTCAAGGCGTACGTGGATTCTACGGACGAAGTTGCAGAACAAAACGTCAGACTCCTGGACCAATTCCAACAGATCGAGCAGCAAATGCGGAAGAAGATTGAAGAGATCAAAAACAAGGACGAAGAAATCCAAAAGAAGGATGGGGAGATACGAGAAAAGGACTTCTTACTCAAGGAAAAGAAGAAGGTATTGAAAGCAAAGCAGGAGGCTCTCGACGACTGCCACGAGCACGGCGAGCGCCTCAAGAAGCAGGTCGCCGACTTGAAGAACCCGCCAACTGGCCCGTCCGAGGACCCACGGATTGCCACGCTCAAGGCGGAGATAGCCAGACTTGAAGAGAGCGTGTTCGATTTCCGTAACAAATGGAGCTTTGCTGAAGAAAAATTCAAAAGTGAGCAAAAGAGGCGCGTTATCTTGGAGGAAAAGGGTGTCGAACACCTCAGAAACGAGATCAAGGGCAAGCTTGTTACTGAAGACAAAGAGTTGCGAGAAGATTGGATGACGGAGCACAACAAAATTGCTGAGAGGCTAGAGAAAGAAATCCAGGCCTTGGAGAGAAGAGCCGAAGTAGGCAAAGCTGAGCTGGAGAGAATCCAAACTACTCATCAGGAGGAAGTGGACGGCCTCGAGTTCAAGATTCGCGACCTGGAGAGCCGCAAGTCGGCTGCTTGCGAGGGTGCTGGTCCGACGGAACCCACAGCTGAACACCAGAAAACACTAGATGAGCTCAAGCTCAGAATTCAAGAGCTGAAGCTCAGAATTCAAGAGCTGGAGAGTCGAAACCCAGCCGCTGACGAGAATGCTGATCTGGCCAAGATCAAAGATGAACATCAGAAGACGGTGGATTCCCTCAAGCTTGAGATTCGGAATCATGAAAAGGGAGACCATCTGAAGATGCTCACTATGATGGATATGGAACAGAAACGCCTAACAGAGGTGGCTGGACTCGAAAAACAAATCCAGTCTCTGACAGCCGAGAACGACGAACTCACACGGGTCTTGTCGGGCACGACGTTGCCAAGAGGGAACATGACTTCTCATCAGGGCACGCAGACTCGCGACACATCGCCGGTCGAAGACTTGACGCGAATTCCTGATTACCAACTGCCTAGCGATGAGACTTTGGGGACGACATCAGGCAATCAACACGCCCCTCCTGAGTTCAGAGCCATGCACCAGCAGTTCCAAAACACGTTTAGAAGTCTGATACAAATGCATTCAACCACTGCTAACAAGCTTGATTCTTTCCTCAAGAGCTTGTGCGACACACTGGAGAAAATGGACCTACCAGAAGATCCCAACGAGTACCAGGTTGACCGCATGGTAGACCTGCGTAACGCCCTCCACGAAGCTCGCACTAAAATGCAAGAACTGGCCTTGCAAAAGAAGCATCATGCTGAAGTGACCTTCGAGCACTACCCGGAGGGACTATACGCACTCACGAAGAAGATTGATGAGTACAAGAAAAGACTCGTGAGGATCGAGACCATGGCGGCCAAGGAGGCAGCCGACGAAGATGGCGTCGGAAACGGTGCCGGCGGGAGTGGTGGTGGGAATCAACCTGATCAGTCCGGGGGCAGTGACTGGGAGACTGCTAGCAGTGGCGAAACTCCTTCTGGCGGCGACGATGATAGTGATTTTGATGAAGACGGACCGGACCCCATTAACGACCCAAAGAAACTCCGCAAATCCATCCACGCGTTGGAGAGCAAGAAGAACATAGCCGAGTCGACTCTGCGGGAAGAAGGGCAACTTTTGCGCGTAACTATCGATCACTTCGGAGGGATTTTCAACCAGATATATCAAGATATAGGCAACCCGCGCGAACCAGCCCGACAAATTCAACGAGAAATAGAGGCCGTGGCACAGGCCGTCAGAGACCTAGATGACTCGGAGGCCACCGTGGCCGGGCCAAGCTCAGCCGCCGGCGCCCAGCCCAATGTCGCCGACCCTCCGCTGCCCCCGGATTCTACATTCAACCGTCTGCCAGAGGGCCTGGACAAGTGGAGAGGGAAGAAGAAGGCTTACAGGTTCCCCGACGACGGCGATCCAGGAAGTTCAGGTGACAGCTCCGTCGATGGGGACATCGATCGGTACAGTTCACCCAAGCGGACTGCTTGGGAGGCACGCGTACATGCCATCCGGGAGATTTTGACGCAAACATATGCGGAACAACGGGCTTGCATTTTCGCTCGTAATGCCATCATGGAGGCAACGCGGAATCTGCAAGTCGCCGATGACCCCATCCGTCAGCAGCCAGGGCCAACGTCCTCTAGACTTTCCGCACATCCGCTCCCCAGCGCACCCGCGAATCAAGTAGACCCAGGATCTCCTCAGGCAGGACCGTCGTCGACTACCGCGCAGCCAGCCATCCCGGATAGCCCAAGCGACGAGTCCCGGCGGGCATTCCAGAGCCACAACGCCTTTGACGACCTCACAACCGAACTTTCCTCGCAGTCTTCCAGCGATTTCGTCGCCCTTCACGCCACGGACCGGATCCTGCCCTCCTACCTCCCACGAAGCATTTGGGACCCCCTGAACGAGTGGTCCATGAGCTGTGAGAATGTTTATAGCAACCTTGAGCGACTCGACTACGTGATTGAGAGCCTCATCCACGACGGCGTCAATTCCCAAAACTACGAGTGGCTACGCAGCAGAGCTCGACAGCTCAAGATCCTCCTCGAAAAGGCCAATGCGACAGTCGCTAACCTCCAGGCAAGGGAGCCTGACGAGTTCGTGGGCATGTCGGACAGCGAGCTCGTCGAAGAGGCTCGGCGGCTCAAGAAAGAGAACGAAGTGTGGGAAAAGAAGCTCAAGGATTACAAGAAGATAGCCGTGGGTATACAGGGCGAGACCAGAACGAGATATTTCCGTGCAAACAGCCGCGCCATGACCTTGCAGACGATCAAGGAAAAGCTGGAACAGAAAATCAGCGCCATGGAAGACGACAGGCAAGAGGCCATCGACGATGGTGTAGACAAGCAGATCCGTGAGACGGTGTACTATTACGGAGAGCAAAAGAAGGAAATAGAAAAGAAGACGCGCAGGATTTCGGAGCTGGAGGGCAAGCTTGCCGAGGAGCAGTCGTCGAAGAGTGCCTTATTCGATGAGACCATCGAGGCCATCAAAGATCTTCAAGGAGAGATCCGCCAGCTGCGGAAGGACAACGAAAAGTTGGAGGACAGAGGCAAGACGTTCACAACCGATATGGAACGGGCACTAGACATCACCACGGACGGATCGTCGGGAACTGACGCACAAAAGCTAGTTCGGATGAGGGAGCGCATCTCTCACGCTCTACACCTAGATCTTTCCGCAATCGACAACTACGAGGTCCAAGAATTCCCGGAACAGGGGGAGACGGAGCGAGAGGAGGGCTTGATTGACATCATCAATGAGCAGGTGAGGCAGTGGGCGAAGCTGTATGATCAACACAAACATCGAATCACCCAGCAAAAGCAAGACTACGATGACCGACTGGCTAAACGAGACATTTCCATCAAGCTTCAGCAGTCCAAGATGAGAGATATTATGTCTTCGCAAAGGCGGCGACTCGGTCTCTGCGAATTGGAGTTGCAGGCCGAAAGGATGCAGCTCAAACATGCTAGGGCGAGGATGGCACTGATGGAGAAGCAGCAGCAGCAGCAGCAGCAGCTTCGTGACCATGTAGATATGATGATCGATCAAGATGAAAAGAACTTGAAAGCTGCTGGAGAGGGAACGTCAGAAGAGAAGCCTGGGCAGGACGTGAAGGATAAGGGGAAGCAGCGCGCAGGCGTACCTGGTGGTGGTCCTGGTGGTCCTGGTGGTGATCCCGACGACGACGATGATGACGACGATGACCCCGGTGAGGGTTCCAGCGGCGACTCTGGCGGCAGACCGGTCAGCGGTCCTCGTGGACCAGGTAAGGAACAGACAGGAAACGGCAAGAATTGTAGCTGCCCCTGTCTCGGTGGCTGCGATTCATCAAACAGGTCGGCAGCTTCACAGGAGACGACTCCGGCTGCTAGACAACATGTCAACGACCTCGTCAAGGTGTACGATCAGTACAAAAGATGCTGTGGCCGTAAGCCCAACGGCGAGACGGACGGAAGCAACACGGCCACCGGACCCGAGTCCGGAACGGAGACAATGGTCCCCGAAGACGACGGCCTTCTCCTGGTGCGACTAGCCGGCATCATGGAAATGGACAGCGCCACGAGAGAACGAATCGCGCACCCGCGCCCAAGCTACCTCTTCCGCCTCCTCCTCGCCTTCTGGAGTTGCATACGCATCCACTACGTCTCATGGCGGCAGGCATTACACTTTGCGTTCGACGGCCTCGTTTGCTTACTCGTCTACCCGCTGCCCGGCAGCAGCTGGAAGCCGAGCAGGCCAGCGTTTCCGGAGCCCAAGCCCGCGGCGCTGGTCATCAAAGACGCGGTCGTCTTGTACTGGTTCTACTGCTTGTACCAGGCGCTCACGGCGACGTGGGCCGTGCAGAGGATCTACGATATGGCCAACGGGGTCACGAGGGCGTACTTTATCGAGAGGGCTTTGCACCCGGAGCGGTCGAGGTGGTGGGGTATCGACGGGATCGATATGAGGCTTGCTGGGTTCTCTGCTACTAAGCCTGCTGTGCCTTTCACTACTGGCGAAGGGGCGGCGGTATGAGAAGAGGAACTTTGAGGTTAGAGAATGTGCCCGTGGAAGGCGCGGGAGGCGGAAGACGGGAGACGGGAGGACGTCCGGCGTTTCTTGGCGGGGGATCTGTCAGTAGACGGAGATTTTGGCAATGGGCAAAGTGTGTGTATGGTAGAAGCCTTTCGCCTGATGATGGATAAACGATAAACGGCATTGCGTATGCATGTCCGGGAAGTCTGCAGGGAGCAATTGTTCGGATCGTCGGTTTAGGGTTCCACGGAGTTCAACGGCGTTTGTAGCTCGTTAGTTTGCTTATTGCTTACCTCATGAACGAGAGTGTTGGTTGTTTCTACGGATGGGTACTGTTTTGGGAAATAGCATGCAGAGATTTTGAGAAACATAGCATCATTTGCCAGTTGACGATCCGTGAGTCCCCTCTTGACAAGGGCCTTGACAGGAAACGAAAACGACAGGCTTGCGTACGTGACTGACTAACTGACCTACGACTGCCTGACCTCCGCTCAGCCCTCCGATGCATGATTTGGAATTCGGGGAACCGGGCCCTTGTCGTGTCATTCATGTCCAGTTTCCAGTTCCGTCCCGGGACCCTGGGCCACGCCCACCATGAAAAGAGAGAGAAGAAAAGATGGAAAGAAGCCGCATGACGGAAACTATATGTACCCACAACTACCTAAATGCAGTAGAGGGATCTCTCTTTTGTATATGGCGCAACGGTACAATTCCGAATTCTGTCACCGCACTTACGGGGCGGAAAAGGGACTAGCGCACCGGGAGCCCCACTATCCAGAAGATTCCCACTTTCGGTCTAGTCCGGCGTCTGTGCCTCGGCCCCCGTACCTTTCTGTTTTGCAACCTCTGCCCTGAACGGAACGACTCGAATCCCCGGTTCCCATAAAAATAAAAGGGAATCGGAGGAAACGTTTCGCGGAACCGCAAGCGCGCTGCTTGCTGGGGACGTTTTGGATTACCAAGACAAGCAAGTTGAAGGAAGAGAGGATCCCGTCACCCGGGCCCGGCACTTGCACCAACTCATCGAAACCCATTCGTTCGGGGCCTTGAGCGGCGTCTACGATCCGCCGTCTCCGATTCTACCTCGGCCGCGAGATACCAAACAGAGTAATATCGAGCTCTTTTGGAATTGGAGCTTGGGATTAGCAAAGGCACTAATATGCTATTGCAGATGCTGCTGGCGCTGGCTTAGTAACAGCGCGGTAGTGTAAGGCGCAATGGAAGATGTCACTCTGATGCAGTTCCCACACAACCTGGCCAGTGATGTCATGACTTGGGGGTGCCACGCCCAGCGCCTGTCAGTGGGCTGGGAAAGGAAACAACGTTCTGACTGACAGCATGCTGCAGGAGCACCCGCTGCGGCTGGTCCGGAGATACAACTGACCACCACCAACACATTGAATACCAATTTGACATATTCGCACTCGCATGTCAATCCAAATGATTGTTTGGAGACTTTTTGCAACAGCCAGAGGCCGATCATCTGTCAACATCAATCATTACACATCGAGGATCTTACAGTAAGACATCGCCAGAAAGTGGAACAAAGATAGCAGACAAAGAGCAAAGCTCGCCGCAACAAGAATAGAGAAGAAGAGTTCTGGTTTGGTCTGGTCCTACCAAAGGTCCCATAGGCAGCTGAGAAGAAAAAGCTCGGCCGACCCGAACAAGGCACTCAATCTCATTTCCCACGCGCCGGTCACCCCATCGGATTCCATGAAACGTCGTCTCCCCGACTCAGCACCATTTCCCGACCACACCCGGACGATCTCTCTCTGCGCGGAACTCATCCCAATCACCTATCAAACCATTCCCAAGACCTCTGAAAAATTGGCAAAGCCCATTTGCTGACGGCATCCCCCACCACTCCCGCGCCCTCCCACCTCCCAATTCTAGAACGACGTCCCTCGGACTTGGACCCTTACCTCAAGGTACTTTGAATTTGAAATGGTACGTGCTTTTTCTTAGCTCGTGAACTTGCCTCATCCCAGCAGCACGCCGCCCCATTACCTCATAAATAGTCGCCCGCCCTCCTCACTCTGATCACACAAGTCATAAAGAGCTCCAAGACCTGCCGTTTCGCACTTCGTCACGCACGTTCGCATTTCTAATACCATCCCTCATATAATAGAGACTACTGAGATACCCGGCTATTACAGCCCACGCCCGCAACCTCAACCCCTCGCGCATTCATCGCAGAGCGTTCACGGCAACTCATAACCCGCAAGCTCAGTCCCAAGCACAGGAATCAGCAGCAGGAACCTCATCTCAAACCAACAATAGCAACACCAACTCGCAGTCACCAACCCAGGGCCAACACACCCTCGACTCGCCAGAACAACAACTCAAAGACAACCACCACAACACCAACCCTCTGAAATCCGCCAAGGACAAACTCACAATGTCCTCAAAACTCATCCCCCAAAACCCGGCCGACGTGATGGTCATCCGCGACCTCACCCCAAACATCACAACCTTCTCCGTCCCCTTCTCCCGCTTCGGCACCCTCAAAATCGGCGGCCGCGCCACCTTGGTCCGCCTCACATCCGGCGCCCTCGCCGTCTTCAGCCCCGTCGCCCTCACCGACGCAGTCAAGGCCAAGATCGCCGAAAAGGGCGGGAACCTCGCCTACATCATCGCGCCCGACATGGAGCACCACATCTTCATCTCCGAGTACAAGGCCGCCTACCCGCAAGCCAAGATCATCGGCCCCGACGGCCTGCCGCAGAAGCGCGCTAAGCAGACGGGCGATCCCAAGATCAACACGGCAGACGAGTTCTTTGTCGTTTTCAAGGATGGCGCTGAGAAGAGGAGCGTCACTATTACCCCCGAGTTTGATGCCGATTTCGAGTATGAGTACGTCGATGCGCACGCCAACAAGGAGCTCGTCTTTTACTTCAAGCCTGAGCGCGTGCTCATCCAGGCTGATTTGCTCTTCAACCTGCCTCCGAGGGAGCAGTACTCCAAGGCGCCCGAGGGCGAGCGCGACACTTCCTCCGGGTTCGGCAACAAGCTTTTCGGCGGCCTGCAGACTACCGAGGGCGACGTCAAGTGGGTGAAGCGCTTCCAGTGGTACGTGATGAGCAGCAAGGACAGACCGAGCTTCAACGAGAGCATCCAGAGGATTGACGCGTGGGACTTTGACACGCTTATTCCTTGCCACGGAGATACCATCCAGGGCGATGGAAAGGAGAGGTTTAGGAAGGTGTTTGAGTGGCACCTGGCTGGTACCAAGAAATAGAGGAGTAGTCTGGTTTTTGTGTCACAATGGAGATGGTCGGTGATGATTTGATGGTTTGCATGACGGCGCTTGTGTTTACTTTAGCTCGATACCACGTTAGAATACAATAACACTTATATCACAAGCCAAACCCGCAAAGCAAGGTGCAAATAACTTTATCCTCGCGGAAGGCACTGTGGAAAACACCAGTTACTCTGGCCGATGAAAATGGACCAGATTCGTCTTCTCATTGAATGCTCGTGTAACCCATCTGTCTCTATCTTTCGAGCCCTAACGACGAGAGGTGGATTGGTGATAAGCGACCCCCTCGCGACGAACAATGCGAATCTCACGCTTTTCATCCCCCTTCATCCCCCTTTCCTCAGACCTCTCACCATCAGTGGCTGACAATAAGAGCCGCTCCCCAGACCATTTAGCAATGCTCCTGGTTCTGAGTGTGTTGCGTGGTGAATGTAGGTATGCAAACGGAGTGGCTTTGCGATCTGATTCGACTCTAACGGTCGACGGGAGGCGAGCCTCGATCTCTGGCCTCTGGCTCCGGCTTGTTCTTGACCGGATTTCAGGACGTCTTCGTGAGATGATCTTTGATCGCAGTGTCTCTTGCAAGCACACTTCTTGTCGATAAAACGGCCTTGTCATGCTTGTTACTGGATATGATGCATCGAGCAGACCACCAAACCATCATGTTTGCCAGGTAATGATGTCTGCCGAATGCCCTCGCCACACGTGTGGCAGAGTCAGGGCGCTTCGTATCAAGGTACACAACCCAAGCGGCCTCGCTAAAGATGTATCCCATAGCAGATCTTGCACAAGCCTGGTGCGCGAAGACCAAATCGATGAGATCAATGGCCTGGGGCTTGCTCTGGTAAGACGAAAGCGCGTCCATCATTCGCTTCTCAATAGTAAGCATGACTGTCAAAGCCTCCAACCGATCGGCAAGGATCCAGAGTCGGACATGTAGCTCCAAATCGGCCTTTGGGGCATTCCATTCGGTGGTGCCTTTGTAGAAGTAGTCGAGGAGGTGACGCATAAGCTCTGGTTCAATGTCTTGGAAAAAAGCCACGCCATCCATATTCTCCTATCTGGCGTGTCAGTTCTAGTTACATGATTCAAACCATCCGGAGAGTACAACCTTAAAGCCGCTGTTAAAAAGAGTTTCAAAGTACTTGGAGTGACTGGCGAGCATTGTCTTGTGAACGTGGATCTCCTTGCCCTGGCAGATGAGTCTGAAATCCGACAACCTGCCGGTTTCAATCATCCATCGATGATTCTCCTCAGCCATCGTGCAAGCCTTTCCGGTTGGGTTGACTGAGTGAGGTGGACGGTTTGTGGCAAGTAGGTATGAGGTATTGGCGTGGTGAGAATGAGATTAAGATGTGGAAGCATTTTGTGGCAAGAGTAAATGGTGAAGTGTGAGAAGGGTGTGGTCAGTTTCGAAGCGAGGAAGGAAAGCCCTGGGGGCTGAGGCCGCCTGGGCTATCGATGAGAAGGCAAGTGCGTCGGTGAAAGTGTGCAGGAAAGGAACGTGGGAGAATAGAGGCCAGGTCCTTCCTACCTATCTAATAAGACGTCGTAGGCAGGCATTTTCCTGACGATTCAAGTTACCCTACATCTGCGTTTGTTGTGCTGAAAAGCCAAAGAAAGATTCTTGTCAAGATTTAGATGCGACTTGGCCGTTATATAAGGTAGCAAGCAGGTAAGTTCGTTGACTTATATGATCACTTATATCTCATGGGTTGACTGGCCTGACTTTGCAGATTGACAGCGCCAGTCCTGAACAGAGTCTTTGAAACTTTGCTGGCAGTCGTGTTTTTTTTCGGCAGATACATATGAAACAGAAGTGAGGATAGCATACATATATTGATCATATTGAGAATATCTTTTTGGTTGTCTATCTAACGCTCCAGAAGCTTGGTTCAGCACCCAATGCTCTGGCAAATGTATGCTCTGAGGTTTCGTCACTTCAGAAAATACAATGGTCTTTCAGACGAACTGAGTAACAGGCGGGTGTGATTTCGTGTAGTGACACTTAGATGAGGCTTTTTGGAACTGCAATATAGGATCCAAGCCGGTACAAAAACATGAGCATCGCAGTCAAGCGAGTATAGTTCTCGCAGAGGACAACATATAACTGGGCACGATGAAACTCGTCACTATTACTACCAGAGTGACTACATTCTTATGTATAATGACTGATAAGTTACTGAAAATAATAGGCCCTTGGACCCAGCCTACTTGAATTTGTACAAAGCCTTCTTCCTCGAATGTCACGACTGAGTGTGAGCTGCCTCCTCTCATTATGAGATAGCCTACAGGCGCCGGACCATCAAGAAAGCGACCGCCTAGGGGCGAGCCGACAAAGACCACCAAGCTCCAGGGACAGGCTCCGACGACCTCATCCTCGAAAATAACCTCTTTACGAGATAACTAGATAGCTTCCAGTCTAACCCACGCGCCCGTGAGGACGTGCCTCGATCAACTGAGGTTGCTCGGTCGAGGTCTCACACCGCACCTCCTCGCTCCCTTGAACTCAAGCGGCCGAGAGCATTCATGGGACTGAAGCCTGCCTCGACATTTCCACAAAAAAACAAAAAACACTGATGGTGATTCGCACTGGAAGTTCCCGCAGGAGGCGAGCTGCTGGAGGTAGAAGAACCTACCCAAGATACAAATACGAAGTGTTTGCCGCCTTTTGTTCGTCTTCAGGAGGCGCATCTTCCACAGGTACCACACCACCGGATACACCACCGGATTCTGTCCACGGCGGTTGAGTTCCTCGCATTGACTCCGATTTGGAACTCGCTTTCTTGTCCAACCGGCTAGAGAGACGCATACAGACAAGACAGCACAAACAGGCATCACGACCGTAGCCGCCCTTCCACATTCCGACGTTATTCCACTACCAATACACGAATAATAACCAGGTCCGACAAGTGGGGGAACACAAATGGTAGACAGGGTGAAGCCTAGATCCCGTCTGATTGGGTGTTTATTAAATGCCGTGCAACTGTCTGCAAAGGAACTGAAGAAGCCCCTGGGTTCCCTCTGCTCCGAGCGCCGCAATGACCAACTGCCACTGGACGCGGTGTGGTTCATCTTTACAGCATACAGCAAGTGATTCCCACCCCTTTATATAATAGCGCCGATGACATGCAGGGCATCCTTGGCTGCGGCACTGGGCATCATAGCAGGCCTTCCGCCATATCTTACTATCACTTGATTGTGATGAAGACTTGGGACCGCACATCTCGGCTCATACGTCCTCTCAAGTCCCCCCCTCGAGTAGCTTCATATCACATCCCTCCCGCTTGATGCTCGATTTCCAAAGGTAGACGGGACAGCATAACTCTCCCTTCTCAAACATCGTTCGACACATGGACACATCGTCACTTATCACACCAGCAGAGGGACCAATACAATGCCAGTAAACGTCCATATCTTATTCTCCAACATGCTCATGCAATTACAAAGAGTTGAACATAATCCAACCGCCCGCGCACTACTGTATGCAACGTCAGACCCAAAGCTCAAACGACAATGCGTAAGATAATTCCCTCACGCCATGCCCCCATTCCTACCTTCATCGTCGTCGCCTCACGTTCCTCACGGTTCACGCGATACACAAGCATCTTTGCATGGGAACAACTTCTTTCGAATTGTTCCAGCCAGCCGCTCGCCTTTCTCTCTAGATTCTCGCCCTCAATCCTCTCTCTCTCTTCCCAATCCCATCCTGTCTCCTTGCCAATCCCTCCCACATCCAAGCCTTGGCATGCGGACGGGCTGAGTTCCCAGTCGAACAATAATCCTCATCCAAGTAAAAAGAACAATGCAAAAAGAACCACGTATCGATGGCGAAGCAGGATTGCTGTCACCCCTTCTACATGAAGCATCATCGCCGACACCGCCGGCCCCGGAGTATGACGTACGTCAGGTAGACCGCAACCCCCTTCATGACCAAAAGGCTGCCACGGATGCGGCTGGAAAAGAATTTGTTGAGTAAAATCACTCTGGTATCGATCTTTAAAACATGTTTTCCCTCGGAAGACTGATGAGAAGCAGCTGGGTCGTGGAGTGAAATCAAGGGATTTCGGATCTCCTGTTGCTCTTCCAGAAATCGATGGCTTCGACAACGTCCTCTCCCTTCTCGTCTTCATAGGCGAAGATGATCTATAATTTGTTAGTGGGGCGCGTAATACGGGACGGATAGAAAGCATTACCTCATGCGTGCTGCTGTGCAGCATCCGAATGTTCTTGTGTGGCACAATATGCACAGCACCATTCTCAATGTTCCTGAGCTCAATGAAGTTCTGCTCGAACGCAAGGATCCACGGGTAGCTAAGAGCAAAGCTTCCTGGTGTGCCCTCCCAGTCGATCCGCCATTCAGGTCTTGCGCGCCATCCATTACGATTGACGAAGAACGAGAATTCGGAGTAGTTGAGGAGAAACTCGCCGTTGAGACGCTCAATATGAATTGGCTTGACATTCTCCTTCCTTGCAACGAAGTCAAGACTCGTGTCTGCCTGGTCGAGCAATGATTGTGTCTCAAGAGTCTCAAGCGACACCACCTCAAATCCACGGGCACATGCCACACACAACTTCGACTTGAGGAAGTGTACGGACGATGATTCAGTGGGAATGTAGAACTCCTTGAACGGCTTGAGCTCGTCTTGTCCAGCAAACATCTTGCCGAAGCCCTTTTGCTTCTTACCCTTCGACATGGCATCGTTGGGTTCGTACACCTTTATTGTAGTCGAGAGAGCTGAGGACTTAACGCAGCACACAAGATGCCTGCCGAGGCAGATACCTGTCTTGAAGAAGTTGCAGTGACTCTGGATTTTCTTGGGTCGCTTGGAAAGAGCAGGTTCGTTCGGATCCAATGCTCCAAGAGGGTATGAATAGAGTGCCTTGTTGGATAGCACCAGAAGGAGGCCATATTCCTCAAGAACGTCGAGCTGGGTGACGCTCGTCGTCTCGATGACGCGCTTGGGCATCGCGTCTCTGCTCTTGCGATCAGAGAGGTAAATGCCATTGTCCGTGCCGTACAGCAACTTGCGGCCACCATCGTACGGCGTAACGCAGTTGACTTGGTTTGTACCCACAAAGAAGCCTGTGGAGATAACGCTTGTGTTGAAGAAGTCGGCGCGGGCTCTCAAACGTTGCTGGGCGCTGTCAATGAACTCGAGCCACTTTTTACGTGCAGCCTGGTTAGACGCGTAAAGCGTCAGTTCGTACCCGGCTTTGCCCAAGTGCCTAAACGTGATCGGCCAGCCCTCGCTCTTCTTGTTGTCATTGGTGTTGGCTCGAAGCGCGGGAAGCAAGCTCGACGAAGATCGCTTCATGGCACCAGAACCTGGAATAACCTCTTCCATCTCGCGGATAGCGAGCAATTCCAAGGGAATCGGCCGCCTGTATGCCTTGATCTCTTCGCCTTTGCCGGCCTGCTTGATTCTCACCAGAAGTACCGCGTGGTCGAACAAGAAAGCAGTGATCTCAGACGCGTCTTGCGGTGTCTTCTTCAACTGACTCTTAAACACCAACTCTCTGCCTTCCTCCGTCAGTCGTAGATCCACCCTCTCGTTGGGCCGGAAGCGTAGTTGCTCATGGAGTCGCCTCAGGTTGAATCTGTTCTCGGCCTTTCCTGACTCGGCATTGACTCTCGTCAAGAGGTCGCGGATCAACTTGAGGACCTTGGGGATGTCTTCCTTGTCGGAACTACCGTCCTCTGTATACTTGAGCACGTTTTCTAGCAAAAGTGGGTAACGAGCCAGACGGGTTGTCGGCTTGGTGAGGTAACCGTTGAGTTCCAGCTTGCGCGACTCTTTCCGTCGTTCAATTTCGTCAACAAACTTCGCAAAGTAGGGATTGGCTGATCGTTCGTTCTCAAATTCGAATTTGGCCTCCAATTGCTTGGAACCATACCAAATAAATGGCTCGAACTGAGGCACACACTCCATGAAAATGTCGCCAATAGCGCCAACAACCGGATTCTTCTGTTGCCGCTCTGTCAACATCTTGGCGAATTTTGCGCTCACAGCATGCAGACTCGGATGGTCCACAATATTGCTGAAAATTGCCTTGACAACCTTCTCCCTCTTGTTGGCAGGAATCGGAGAAGCCTTGGAGCGCAGAGGCATAATCCAAAAGTCGCGCAGATATTCCAAGTCCTTGACGAAATCTCTCTCTGTATAGCAGATTTCTGAAATGACTTCCTGCCTCTTCTTCTCTCGGTCGCCTATGCTGTCGGCCACTTCCTTCGGAACGGAGTTGATCCAAAGTTTCTGCTCATCGGTCTGGTCGACATCGTCTTCGTTCGAGACGTTCTCAGACTCCTTCTTCAGGCCAGGCTGAATCTTCAAGTTCAGCCGAGATACCTGCTCCAGTCTACGAGGGCATGCAATGGAGTAGCAGAGCTGATCTCTTGTACAAGTCGGCGAGTAGCACTCGGAAAGTAGCACAAAGACACCGTCGACGGCAGGTCTCTCTTCCGTCTCTTCCACGAGAGTTTCCCGGAATTGGTACATTTCTGACGTGGAGTCTCGCAAGCGGTGTTCGTAGGTGACGTCGTGGAAGAACTTCTGGGCATCAAGAGCTCGTCCCAACAGCAGCGCCAGATTCCTGTCTGTCGTCCTAATAATATACGATAAGACATCCACAGCTTCGGCACCACTGAAGGCGTTCTTATACGTGAGCTCGTTCTTCGTTCGGTCGCCCGTAATGATCTTCTGCCGGAAGCAGTCGGCCACTCGCGATAGCAGTGCGGGATATACCAGGGGGGGTCGGATTTTGCCAGTTGGAGGTCGTTCACCGTCGATAGACTTGCTCATAGAAGGTCTATGCGCCAGGGTCGCCTCGCTCTCCGAAGGCGTTATCGTTGGTGCCACCGTAGACGCCATCGACATCGTCCTCTGATTGTTCGGATCACCGGCCGTCGAAGAAGCCATGCTCATCGTTCTCGTCTGGGAACCTGGCGCTGGTGTATAGCCTCCTCCGAAACTTCCATTGGTAGCCGGCAATTCTACGGGCGCCCTTCTGTTTGGAATGACCCGACCGCTCATAGTCTGGTGGGAATTCTGATACTGGTGCATATCGCGGTCCTGCGGATGATAGCCAGTCATTGACATGGCTCGATCGTCTTGGCGTTCTGGAACGACCCTTCCTTGTGCTGTTGTGCGAGACGAGCTCGGATTGTACGGAGCCTGGCGGAAAGCATTGGCCGGGGCCTGGTGACTCGGCTGCTGTGAGCCGTATCCATTTGAAGAAGGCTGGTACATGTTCGGTCTCGGGGCGGATGCAAGAGACTGTGAGCGGTACGCATCGTTATTCATAGCTGGCGCCGCGCCTCCTGCTCCTTGGTAAAATCGCTGTGCTGCCGTTCTTGGCGGACCGTACTGCCCTTGGGATGGCGGCGGCCCCCTCCCATCACGCTGGGGGATAGGCCCGGCAGGTCCTCCGTATGGGCGGCGAGCCTGTTGTTGCTGCATGTATTGTGCTTGCGGGTTGGGCACTTGGTAGCCGCCGGACGCTGAGCGTTGTTGAGCCGGGTACCCATTCGGCTGCATGGGAGCACCTCTCGGAGAGCCCGGGTCGCGGTCCATGTACTGGCCTGGAGGCACCCTCGGGGGCGGCTGTCGCTGCATAGACGACATGGAGGATGACATTGTCTGTGTCCTTCCTCCTTGCTGTTGTGGCATCATCTGGGGAGGCATCGAAGAAGAGGTCATTGTCTGGGAACGTCCCGGCGGGGGATTGGCGCCGAAAATGTTAGAGTAGGCGGCTTCGCGCTGGTAGTTGGACGAGTGACCCCTCGGGTCGCCGCGGTAGTCGGACATGATGGGTTCGATGAAGGAAACTGGAAGTCGGCGACAAGGCCCTTATCAGCTTTTGGTCGTGGGTTGGTTTAAAGGGGAGAGATGGCGAGTGTGCCAAGGTGGAGAAAAATGTGGTACAAGAGAATGAGAGGTGTAGTACTAACAACGTAAGGCCTCAACGGCCGCCGACTATGGCGAGGAGACACAGGACCGCCCAAACAACTCGAAGGGCACAATTGGCGGAACTGAAGGCAGAGGTCGACGCGGCAGTCGTCGGTTTGGCGGAGAGGCGGTGGCCAGCGTGGGGGAGATTTTTTTGGTGGTTGCTATCCGTTTCCCCTTCGTTCTAGGTGTTCTGCGTCCCCTTTCTAGGATGGGCCGGGTGACGTTATGGGCCTATGATTTGACACAGGGCCCTGACCCGGGCGATTGTCGAAGGGGGGGTCAAGAAGAAAGGAAACAGGGAAGGCGACGAAAAAGAAACCGAGCCACGGCAAATCTGGCGACTTTTGTTTATCTCGAGACGATGCGAAAAGGAGCGTCGGGTTAAGGCAAGGCAGCGCAGTTGTGCGGGCAGGCGATAGCAATGCTGAGTAACTTGTTGCTGGCGGCTAGGAAATGTTGCGGGCAAAAAGTCGAAGGATGGTGGTGGCCGTGGTGGTTCGTGGTGGAGGAGGTGGTGGTGGTGGTGGTGGAAGAGGGTGCTGCTGGGTTACTGGTCGTCGTTGGTGCTAAGTCATCGGCATTGGGCTAGAACTGGGTCGGGGACTGGAGACTGGAGGTGCTTGGTTGGGACAGGCGTCGAAAGCTGGGGATAGATTGATAGGACGGTACCAAAACTGGCAGACAAGCCCAGAGTCTGGATACAAGACGGGATATCGCTGGGAGGGGACCAACCACCTCCTGTTGGTGTATCCGTAGGTATTCGTCGGTGGAGGGCGCCTTACCTTAGTCAGGGTCGGGACGAGTACTTTTTTGGATGCGCCGTTTTCTCCTGCGGGAGGTGCACATGTTAGGCAAGGTAAGGTACCTTTTCACTTCTTCATCTAAGTCCTACTGGCCTGTCTCGGCCTGCTTGCTTGCTTGCTTGCCTGTCTTTGGATATGCTACCTGACGGTGTACCTTATGCCTGTTGGACGGTGATACATCCTGCCTTCGGGTTTCTCTCTTTTCCTACCCTTTGCTTGGCCAGGAAAGTGCCACAAAAGGTCACGTTTACAAAGGGCAACAACTGCTGTGCGATCGACTTGCGCCCATCTCGTTCCATTCGCTGTTGATGCTGCTGCTACTACAACAAGTCGCGAATGTGCTAGGACGGTAGATCAATCAAATCAGTCAATGTCAAAAGAGACGGCCGACCGCCAAAAGGTGCAAGCTGGACGATCCACCGACACGCCAGGACAGGTAGACTTGGGACTTTGGGTGACTTGGCCCGATCCACCGTCTCCCTTCCGCCCGTGAATTAGACGCAGCGCCCTGCTTCTCTGCATCCAATATTAAAAGGCGTCGATTCGCCTGGCCTGGGCATTCCTCTAACGTGCGGTCTGGCGATGTCAAGATCTAAGAATAACAATGTCTGACCTGTGATAGCGTGCTCTTCATTATTCAAGAACCTTTGCTAGAAACAGGAGGGGGGGGGGGCTAAACTGGAAACCCGTCTTAACGCCGCGTGAGGTGGGCAGCGTGACTGCCGGAAGAAATGGAGCTCCCTCATGCAAGAACCGCACGCAAGTAACGAGGCCCCCGGTTTGTCTGTTGTTTGCAATGCGCCCGTGTTTCGAGGTCAACTTGACTTTCGCGGTCGGGATTCGGGACGGCTTCGAATTAACAGCGTCCCTCGAAAGCTCTCCGCCCTTCTTTGTCCAACCGGAATAGTCACTTCCCCACGAGTGCCAGATAGACGCGACAAAAGGTTGATTGTATTCATCGCGCCGAGGCACGTCCCGCCCCTCCTAGTTGGCTACAAGTGAAGAACGCAAAATGCGCCAAACCTGAGATAGAGCTGTGACCTGCAGTCGAAGGGGGTGGAAGTGAAAGTTGGCAAAGAAGCCCAGGGATTCCACTGCTCGGATGATGCGCCGCGATAAGGCTATGCATCGATAAGAGAATCCAGACCCCCGTCAGACACGGGCCACTTTCAGAACGCAGCTGCCCACTGCGCCGCACTCGAGCACCTTCTCCACTTCCTGCCAGCCCAGCCACATGCTCCCAGTCTCCAGATGCAACACCAGCCACAAGGCCGTTGAAATGGGGCTGGTGAATCGGGCCGGCATGGTGCCGTGTCACGGGTTCCTCAGCCTGCCCATAGTGCAGTCCTGATTGGGCCTCGTCACCGTCACCAAGCTCCAAGGTCCTGGATCCAGGAAGCCAACATCGCGGGATCCTCGACACGCATATCCCTCCCCCCTCTGTCGGCCATCAACACACATCCCCCGCATCGAGTCCGACCACGATTTTGCCCACCATGGCCGAAGACTCTGTCCTCGCCCCCAAGTTCGCGCCGTTCATCGGAATGGTAAGCTCTCGCCCCCCTCGACGCCCTGCTTGCTGCTTCCCGAGCAAGCAAGCTACGGATAGCTATGACATCTACCTGCGAGCTTGTGCTGACTTGTCTCCAATCTAGGCCGGCATTGCGGCTGCCATGATCTTCGGATGTACGTTCGCCTTCTAGGCCTAGCTATCCTTCACCCCGACGCGACGACAAACGGACAATGTACTAAACAAACTCTCCTCAATAGGCATCGGCGCCGCATACGGTACCGCCAAATCAGGAATCGGTATCGCTGGTGTCGGAACTTTTAGACCCGACCTCATCATGAAGGCATGCCATCCGAATGTTACACCCCTGTCGAAGAGTGCCTGCTAATACTGCCGCAGTGTCTGATTCCTGTCGTTATGTCCGGTATCATTGCTGTCTACTCTTTGGTTATTTCGGTCCTCATCGCCCAAGATTTGGTGCCTCCCGGTGCTGGAAGCAACTACAGTTTGTTCAAGTCAGTCACGACTTCCCACAAATCAACGACACGATCTTTATGCTGACACGGGAATAGCGGCTTTATGCATCTTGCCTGCGGTCTGTCCGTTGGCTTCACTGGCCTTGCGGCTGGCTACACAATCGGCATCGTTGGCGACAAGGGTGTGCGCTCATACATGGAGCAATCCCGCATCTTCGTCGGCATGGTCCTGATTCTTATTTTCGGCGAAGTCCTGGGTCTCTACGGGTATGTCACAACGCCATGGACGACCTCAAGTGCGTATTTGCTAACCAACACAGCCTCATTGTCGCTCTTATCCTGAACACCAAGTCCAAGGGATAATAACCTCCCGATTCCCCGAATAATTCAAACGGCGATAACTAACTACAACTTAACACCACCCTTCAACGAAACAAACTGTACATTAAGCCAGGAAACCGCCGGACGTCAGGTTGAAGAAACATCAAAAGAGAAGGTGTATGGGGTGGGGTGGTTTCTGGTCCAAACCAGCATATGGCACGGCGTTACAATAGGACCCTCGTGTAGATTTTATGTATGACGGGCTAGAAGAAGGTCTCGGGAGCTGTGGAAGGTATGATAGGCATCCGGGCTCAGTATCTTTGAAATTTTTCGAACGCAACCTGACTTCCATCAACTGTGATGAGTGATGAATGTGTGACAGATCAATTTGTGCCTGAACTTCGACTAGGTAGGTGTATGGAACTCGCTAACTTGGTGCTGATCAAGTAGCAATGCAGCTCGACATTATGATCAGGAAGAGGGAGGGATTCCCATTAGATCCTCGCCCCAAAGCTCTCCGGCGGGAAGGCATGTGCAATATCAATGCCACTTTCCCAGTAGAGGAAACCTTTGTGTATCACAAAGCTCTCGAGATCTAGTAGCAGTGTCGATTACGTATCCCAGTCTGAGTTATCATACTGACTCTAAACTTGTCCCTGCGGCTAGGATGGCAGGCTTGATAGTAGCCTCGACGTACATGACCTTTAAGTGAAATCTCCAACGAAAGTGCGCTTTAACCTCTGTTTCGTAAACTGACGGACCTTCCCAGCAGAGACCAAAAGTCGCGACAACGACAATAGTGAACATTAACAAACCAAGCCCATTCATTACCAGTGGCATCGCCTGCGACCCCTTCGTCTGGCCAGATGCCAGAAAACGCAGCTTACTTCCTCTACTCATTGTAACCGCCAAAAGCTCAATCCCACAAAAAAATTGACCAAACTAGCAAAAAAGAATTCACCCCCCCCGGTGGCGAACGGGGGCCACATCTCTGGGTGCACATGCTGGGATTCGAACTCGGAGCCTGTCGTCGAGTAGGCTGTGGGCGTAATTTGATTTTTGACCTTGAACCACTCCACCAGCCAGCCAGTTTTGACCTGACCCCCGACCTAGAGGGCGCCTGCTGGCTGGTGACGGGAATGGAGTTGGAGGGGTATATGAAGGGTGTGAGGCGTCTTTCGTGGTGTGTTGTGTTGTGATGGGATGAATGTACGGAAGGTACGTACACGTCATCGTGTTTTTTTTTTGGGGAAGGAAGGACCCAGAGGGTTGGTTGCCGGGGGGATTGGGATATATTTTCCGTGCGATTTTGTGTATTCAGCTGAGATATTCTGGTGTATGGGCCGGACGTAGAAGCTGATGAATCATTGTTCTGACCTGGATCCCGTTTAGTACTGAAAACAACTGCGACAAGGATCATATCTTGACCTACTTATTGACTAGATTGTGTTGAACTACCTTATTTACGCGTTACTTCAGTGTATATGGCTGCGGTTTGAATGATATGCTTAGATATATCCTCGTAAGCCCAGACGACTCGGAAGAACTTGCTCATATCCCACTCACTAGGCTTGCAGAAGTCTTAACATCTCATTATATTGGTAGGTTTGGACGAACTACAGTCTTTCATACGGAATACTGCACTTGTGAGGATGATGGACAGCGAGGAAGTACTCTGAGGAACACTTTGGGGTCACCACACTCTATTATCCCTCTACTTCCTTCCTGTCTTGAGTCGAATTGAGCCACCTAATCGAATTTAAGGGATTCACTAGCCCGATGGTATGGCAGCCTTTTCAGCTTGAGCTAGTTACTGGGCAGGTGACGTGAAGGAGCAAACCAGAAATGCAGGCATAGCTAGCGAACTAGCTAAGTACAGGGTGAGGTTGAAAGTTGGCACACAAGAGGCTCGATCCTGAAATGAGGAAGGAAAGGAAGAAAGGAGCGACTGTGATAGGCCACACGTGTATCTTCCTACAAAGCCATTTCAAGCTCACGCATTTAAACCAGCTGTTTGCTCGCAAGCACGTTAATTACTCCTGAGTAAGTGGACCATCTACTCATGAAGCCTCCATATTTCTCATTAGAGAATGATAGGGCGGATTTGTCAAAGTACGATGAGAAGGGCAAGACCAGAAGGCTACTATCACCTGATCACAAACGCCGAGACCCACATCATCACACACGAATGCTAAGTCACTCGTGGCACAGTTCCAGGAATGGATAAAATGTCTTCTTCAATTTGGTTTCACATACCCTTGACCCCAGGACTCTAGGCCCTATGTCCCTACTGTTGATTGGCAGAAACGTAATCAAGCTAGAGGTCTTGTCTTCGGCCTTACCGAGTCCGTTCTCGAAATGCACATGAAATCTAGATTCGAAATCTAGAATCGATGCCAAAAGTGTTGAAAAATTCCCCCAGAAATCCTCAAATGACACCAAGGGGAAGACAAATGTGTCCTGGCAGAAAAGAAAAGGCCCAAATGCCATGTCCAATGACCCATAAACAAAAAGACCCGAGTGGAAGAATCATCTCCTTTCTAGGAGGAATCATCGGCTTTCAATGCTCTATGCAGAGACGCCGATGGATGAATGATAAAAGAAAAAACGACTGACTCCTTTTCCTAATGCATGACGAACCCTTCGTTTTCAAGTCATGTCACATGCGCATCAATATCATGGTCGCGTCAAGCGATCTACCACAGACGTCCCGCAAGGCGGCGGGTCAGCTTCTTGCGCTGGGTCGGCGGGGGTTGGCGCAGGTTTCTCCAGCCGCTGCGATCGCGGTCTTCCCAAGTCTGCATTTGTGCTGTAGTCATAGAGGTTAGCCAGCCATACTTTTACTGGGCTTGAGCTTGAAGGTGGGCAAAGACCAAGACTTACCGAGAAAGCGGTTCCAACGGCGATCCTCGTCCCAGAGGATATCCTCGCCAGACTCGCGCGCAAGTCTCTCTCGGCGAGCACTCGCGGCGGCCTCCTCGCCGACCAAGTAAGGATCCTCGAGCGGCCGGAAATCGCGAGCTCTTTGGGCCGCCTCCTCCTCGGCCATTCGCTCAGACATAAAGCGGCGTAGGTGGGCAACGGGATCAGCACCTTGGTTCATGCGTCTTCGGGCGACGTTGTTCAGTGTCGGATTTGTGTGCACTGTTGACCACGTCGGGATGCGGAACTGATCGAGTCGCGGGGCGCTGGCCGCCACCGGGGGGATCGGGGGCAGACCGGTGGTTCGGTGGGGCTGAGGCGTCGAGTTCCCGGAGCGGCTCGGGGCCGGGACGGCAGGGAGCAGGGACGTTGGGTGTTGAGTGGAGCCGGTGGCCGTGCGGTTCACATTGTTGTTGTTGGCGGGCGGGGAGTAGGGAGGAATAGGCTCGGGATGCGGAGCGATCGAGTGGTAAGAGGGCGCGTCTGAGACTGTTGTTTGGTATTAGCTTGGCCATTCCCATTTCGAGGTATGTTTCGACATGTCTTTGTCGGTGAAGCTCAGGCGTGTCAGGCGCCAAAACAACCCCCTGTGCGGAAGCAACGAAGCTATCCCGACGTCCCACGAAACACGCGCTCGTGACAAGATATGACTTACAATAAGACGGTGCGGCTGAGCGGATCGAGGCCGTTTCAAAGTCATCGTGGCTCAGCGCATCATGGTGCGAGGGAAAGAAACGCGGGTGTTCGGCTACAGCAGCGGCCATATTGAGAGCAATTTCCTCGGTGGAATAGTGCGTAACGCGGTAGGCAAAACTTCCAGAGCTCAGGAGTAACCGGTCGAGGGTAAAGTGCGGAGAGTAGAAGGATAAATGTTGACCATCTGGTTGCGGAGGGGGATCCGGCCTTTCAAAATAACTGCGCAAGCGCAGCTTGAGGATCAACGTAGCAGGTAGATCAAGCAAAGATCCCTAGACAGGGTTATGTTGCTGTGCGACTCTGACTTGCGCAGAGGAAGATAGCAAGAATCCTGAGCAGGTTGGGAAACGAGCGTGTAGGATGTGTATGACGGCTTCCGAGACCCAAGTTCTAAGACAAGTAGGTCAGGGGAGAGGAATAATAAGTCGGTCACGCTCGAAGCGAGAGAGACAAGGTGGACGCTGCCCACGGATAAAGCAGCCCAGCGATGACTGCAGTCCAGTCCGAGCCGGCGGGAACTGGGATGCCTCTGCCCGAAAGGTGGGTGCCCTTGGTGCGTGGTGTGCGTGATGGAGGGGTGGGTGTGTGGAAGGTTGGAGCTTGGCGCAGCGGTAGCGTAGTTGTGAGCCTCTCGTGCGAATGTATCTTTGTGTAGACTGTATTCGTAGCGGCCTCAAGGGTCGGGAACTACTACCTTGTGCTTCCAGGTTGAACGAAGTAGGTGGTGCAGGACACGTGATAAGGGACTAGAACGATAACAGAAGCCCAGCCGGAAGCAGGGGACAGGATGGCTTCTTTACTGTGCAGCGTGTGGTGTCGAGGCCAGGCAAGGGAAGGCAGGACGATGCAGGTCAGATGTATCGTTTTCCTCTTTGAGATGCAGAGGGAGGGGTGAGGGGTCGAGGCAACAGAAGGGGAACGAGCAGACGAGGATGGATAGCATGCAGGTCGGGCGTGGATGGTCCCCTTATACTAGATCAGGATAGGGAGGTACAAACCAAATTCAAGAGAAAAAAGACCTGACGCGGTGCTTTCTCACCTAGATTCGTTGATAGACGAAGACGATGGAGACTCTCTCACACCGCGGAGGGGCTGAGGATAAGCAACGAGCAGGGCAGAAGAACGGAGAAGACTGGGAACAGCAACGACATCAGCCATGGCCTGAACGAGCTGGAGAGGCCGGAGCAGAAGTTGCTCTCCGAGGCGTCGTGTTCCTGGCGCAAACGTGTCGTCGCCGAGCATTGGCTGACGACGATGGGGCATCTGTCAGTTTAGCCAGGAAAGCATCCCGTTTGGGACTCTGGGGGCGTGGACAGAGTGGAGGAATAAATGGATATCGAGCGGCGTATTTGGGAGGCCATGGCTAGGAATAGGATTCCGATATGGTTCAGGCTGGCACAAGCTGGGCCAAAGTGGGAGGGAACGACAGGTACGGTGCATAAGCCTTCGTAAGTACAACGTCTCCGGCCTGTCACTGAAGGAAAAGACCGACTTTCGGGGATGGCGATGGGAGGGAACCGGCAAAGAAGCCGTAGACATGGGGCATTGCCCCAAGGTCTAAGTGGAGGCATATGCTGGAGATGATAGACGAATGCCCGCTTCAGGAGACCCAAAGGATAGGAATCTTAGAGAGAGGGAATTATTTCCAAGTGGAAACAAGACGAACACGAGAGGAAACAAGGTCCATTGTGCGTTCTGGCAAGTACCGACTAACAGTATTGAATATCTCTGGCCTGCCACGGTGGTATGGAGTGAATAGAATTGAGAAGTGAGAAGGCGTCAGTAAGTGCGGGGTTACTGACAGAAGGTCCACTTGAACCTTCCACTTCCATGTTCGTCTGGTTGTTTGACTGTGGGTGGCATGGGGCCGGTTTACATTCTGGCGGAAGCAAGCACACCCCAGTCCAGTCCAGGTCCAGCCCAGCGCCGTCTTTCCCGTCCTCTCAAAGCCTCAAAGCCCGTGGGAAAGTGCTCTAGTCTCCACCGGTTGCCGACGTCCCCCGAGACCGCCGAGAGGGGTAGCTTGTCGGTAAGCCCTGGTTGGTTGTTGCCGTCGTTGTGTTCTGCCGTGAGTTGCTGTCTTTCTTGGGGGTAGGTTGATTCTTGCTTTACGCACGGTTGCGTTGGCTGGTTATAGCCCGTGGGAATAAGACGATGGAAGCGTACCACCATGAGACCCCCCGGGTACTTGATTACGGATGTTTTGTTTCCTTCTTCGCGTTGCGGTTCCTCCCAGCCAGTCGATGGATTGATTGCGAGGTGCTTTTGGAAGTCTTGGCGGGGAAACACCGGTCTGCGGAGAGACTCCAATTTTGTGGAGATAGTCGACGTGCCTTCCATTTGTATTCCAGAGTACTCGGTACGTACTCTGTTGTCTCTATCGAAGAAGTAGCGATAGTCGGTGGTTGCAACTTCGGGTTAATCCACCACGCCAGCCATCTGGGAACAGGACAGGGATCGTGCAACGAGACCACGGCACATTCTTGATCTCAACACAATGAAGGGAACATCTTGAATAGAGGACAAACGAAACCACTAACACCAGTCAACATCAGAGCAGTCACAAGTTACAGCCAAGACAGAGCGGGAAGAGGCCGAATATTGGGGCTCTCTACATGGTAATCAAAATCATGCTTCGGGAACTAAACCTTGCCATCCCGCGATCACACCTTGACAGCATTCGAGTATGTGATGAGACAACGGCAGAATGAGGTGCTCTACCACGTACCTACACCGTACGCAGGAATCAGTTTGCCCAGCCTTGGGGACGACACGGATCCCCGCCGCTACCCCACCAAGGCGCCAACTTGAGCCAAATCCCCGATCTGAAAGGGCACAAGAAAGAAAGCCATCCACGGATTCCGTTATTCAGAGACGGACAACAGGATCCCTCGGCCCCCAACGACCAACATCACTCTGTCTCCCCAGCCCCGAACATGGTTAGGTTACGCAAACCAACCCGTATAAACGGCCCAGAACATACAGACGGGATCCAGGCGTGGGAGGTTGCGAGACAATCAAAACCTCAACATGTTACTAACTGGGGCTACGTGTAGCCCGCCAACCCACTATGACGACCAGACCTCACCTGGCAGCCCTACAGCTGTCATCCAAAACCTGCTTGCTTGCTACCGCCTACGAATACTCTGTACTCCTCTGTACACCCGCTTTGTTCACTGGCCGTTTTCCTCACTTCTCATCTCAGTCCTACCTTACGGAAATAACGTCCCCTGTTGCCGTCTCGACCCGTTCAACGACTGCACGCTATCTGCTTCGACTTGATCCCGACGACTGTGGGACTATATGATGCTGTCGTGCAGGACCAAGTGGGCATTTCGCGGGGAGCATGAGAAGGTTGGGACTTCCTGGAGGCGACCTTGACGACCACGGAGTTCTTCCAATCGCCGCAATATGACAAAGTAATGTTCCAAAGAAGACATGTGAAGCTGTATCCGTACCGTGGAGTCCAAACCGGTCGACAAATAAAAGCCTGGGCGCTCGACCACCGCAGCCACACCTATACAGTACGGGTAAGTGTTTCACTTGATGGTACATCAACAACACCGCCAGATGCAACCCCAATCCAGGTTTCTTGGAGATAGTGGCTTGAACACGGGCCTGGATGTGTGGCACATGAGCACATGACACAAGACCACTCTCACGCGACCACTTTGATCCTTATCAGAATCCCTTTGCAAATAGAGGCAGAGAAAAAGGGTCTGGAGCCGCCCGGCATGCTAGCATGTGCATGCACCCACGGAGGGTTTTCTCCAACTGATCGCCATTTTCCACTGAATGCCGCAAAGAGGGTGTGTGAGGTGAACGGTAATGAGTTTGCCTCTGCCTTAAGGGCCTAAGATGTGGAAACGAGACCGCCAGATCGACGTTGCCGCTGCGCAAGCTGCCAAGAACGAGAACCCGCCGGGGCTATCGAACTCAGATGTCTGCGGTAGGGTGTCGCATTAGCACCGCATTTCAACTACTTCGACTGTCCAATTTCATTCACAAATCCAAACCGGGCGGATTTGCGCGGCCCGCGAAATGATCGTCAGGAATAAACGTCCTGTCAAACTGCAGAAATTCCCACAGAATCTCCAAGTTTGCGGATGATCCCAGGCCGGGTCCAGTCCACGACAATGTCAGTATGCCGTCAAGAATCCCCAGTCTCAACGGAAGTAGAGGAAGTCGGCACGGGATCGACCCCGGATCCTCTAAGTTCCCATAGAATCGCGGGACCTTTGATATGAACCTGACACTCCTGAGCCTCTGAGGGTTATTTTGCCCAAGCCTTTTCGAAAACCCCCTTCCCAACCGTCGACGTAATATGACATCGTTGAAAGAAGTGATTGAAGTCGCGGACTGAGTGCTTGGCTCGGCCCTCAGCCAAGCCGTGGACCACGTACCGTTGATCTTGGCTTTTTGGAACAACTCATCACTTGCCAACTGCTGGTCAGCATGTTTAGTTCAAACATCAGTTGGGTTCAATCGTCTGGTTACTCCCAGAAACTCAAATCCCTCCACTGGGTCGACATCGGACTGATCGAAGTAATACTATTGCTCGGGTATTGATTGAAGCAGCAATTTTCGCAGCTTGTCATCGCACTGTTGCATACCTCCCTGATGTCGCTGCACTTCTAACTGATTATGAATGATGCCTACCGCATTCCTTCCCACTTTGCAGCCATTGTGTTCGGCGTACTAGGGCTGGGAGAGCAATTTAAGCCTTATTTGATATCAGCCTGATGACTGAAGTTGTATTGCACAAGTTGCTAATTTGAGCGATACTCTGTCCCAGACATGCATAGCCGTACTAGACGGCGGCAACGGCGGTGGCCCCCTCAAAACCTAAGCGTAGCCGTTTCCAAAGCGTTCTCACGCTACTTTAGGTATGTCTAACAGCAGCATCGTCTAGTCATCCTTCTTCCCAACCGTACCACCCTTTCGAAGCCCTCCGACCACAATGACGAGCACCGCAACCGTGGCGGCGAAGATGGTCCAGAATGCGGCGCGGTACCCTTCCATACGGGCCTCCCTTGCATCGTCGCGGACGACAGCCGAGTGCTCCGTCACGGAGGCTGCGATGGCTGCTGTTACGGCGAGACCGACCGCGTTGCCGATCTGTCCAATCTCGCTGAAGACGCCGCCGGCGAGGGATTGTACGTCTGCTGGGAAGGCGTCGGAGACGATTAGGTTCGAGACGGTGAAGAGGGCTGTTGGATAATTAGATAGGTATCTTGGGGATTCAAGCATGCCCGGAAGAAGGGAGAAGAGTCGACATACCATCTGCATTCACTGGCGAGAGTACCATGGCCCAGAATGGCGCAAACCAGTAATTTCCATCGAGGCTGACTGTGGCCATGAGGATTGGCGCCGCGGCTGTTATAACTGCAGATACGGCGCCTAGAGTCTGGACCTTTATCCGCGAGACGAGCCATGCTGCTGCTATGTTGACGAGAGTGCCCATGACGACATGAGGCAGGAACCGAAGGGAGCTTTGCAGTGCGGAGATGCCCTGGACTTTTTGGAAGCTGATGAGGATGTCAACATGAAAGATTCCTCGAGTTCGACAATTGGCACTTACTAAAGCATGATGAAATACTGGATCGCATTGAGAGAAGCCCAGCATAAAAAGATGGACACCTGGCGGTATGTCAGAGGTGTCTCGCGTCTACTTCTTGGATTTTCACTTACACAAATTGACGTGAAGGCAGCGTTTCGCCACAAACGATTCGGAATGAGCACCGGACGACCCCTTTTAGTCTGAAAATTCTTCCAAACGGGAAACGCGACCAGCAAGGCTACTGCTACGGCCAGGAGGGCGATGTTAGTAGGGTCAGCAATTTTTGTGTACGAAGAAGTAGTCATCGCCAGCACATAGAGCAGCAAACCTAGCGCAGCGCTCATAATGGCGGCTCCTATCCAGTCAATATCCTCCGCTAAGCGGCGCGTCCACTTCTTTTCAGACGGCTGGTGAATCGAGGGCAGGGACCATACAGCCGCGGTCGACAGAGCAAAGTTGATGATGGCCATCAGGTAATATGCCCAACGCCAGCCGATGGTATCGGTGAAGATGCCTCCCAAAACCAGACCGAGCGCGTACCCAAGCGGGAATCCAATCCCATTCATCGAGAACGCAACATTCCGCCACCCGCCCTTGGGAAACGTCTTTGTAATAAAAGCCATGGCCGTGGGCAGACATGCCGAGATGGAAATCCCAACGGCGGTGCGGAAGAGAATAATCTGGATCCCCGTCCTGGAAAGGCCGACGGCGACGGTGAAGACGACGCAGAGGTAGCTGCCCGTCAGCCACATGAGCTTGGCGCCCACGACGTCGGCGACGGCGCCAAAGATGAGGAGGAGGCAACCGGCGGCGAGGTTGTAGACGGCGGCGGGCCAGAGGATGAGGCTCTCGTCGAGGCCGACGTCTTGGGCTATGCGCGGGAGGGCGGCGATGAGGATGCCGGAGCCCATTGTGTTTAGGAAGTTTATGCCGGCGAGGGTGATGATTACGGTGATGCTTTTTGCTATGGAGACGTTGCGGGAGGGTGAACCTCGGGGGGGTTCTGGTTCTGTTGCTGTTGGGATTCCATCATTTGGAGGGGATTTGGGCTTTTGCGATGAGGTGCTTTGCTTTGATGTGCTTGCTGGGGATTTTAAAGGGTGCATCTCCATGGTGGAAGACGGATTGTTTGGAGCACCCTGTATGAGGAGGGCCTCTGGTATTGCTTCCCTGAGGACGGTGTTCATGATCAAAGGCAGAGGTAGTATAGTATATGAGCCTGAGAGTAACGGATAGAGGACTAGTCGATGATTAATTGTATTTGTAGCAAGTCATGAACGGTGTAAGCAGCAAGTTGGGCGGACGACAGCAAGCAACCAAGGTCCCTTATCCAGGGGACAGCTTGTTGCATTTGAATCACGTTATTATTGCAAGCAGGAGACATGATACCGAACGAGCTACCCGAAGCCGAACTTGGCGGTAAATGCGCAAGTTGGCGCGCATAATGTCATCAGCTTATTCCGTTCGGCGACGAGGATGAACGGTCACCCTGAAGTTGAAGGCATCTAGAGATGTCGACTTCTTGGTGGTCAGTGCACGAGCCATCCGCACTTACATAAGCAAACTTAATTGAACATGTGACCTCGCGCCTGGTTCAGCGCGCATCCGATAGATGGCCCACCCCCGCAGGCGCGTCAAGCTCTGGACATTCGTCCTAAGGGTGTTGATCCTTCACGCAGCGGACGACTGCGACTTGCACCAGATTAACGTCCTCCGGTCGTACGAGGAGGACGAAGCCATGGCTGCAGATTATAATGGCAGGCCGGCTGCCGCTGCCGCTCCCAACGCGCCGCCTCCCTCCACGCTCGCCGCACAATTAGTCGAGAACATTTCGGCTTCGACAAAGTCCACGCGATCCGACGAAAATGCCGAGCTGAAGAGGCTGTTTGCCGTAATCGAAAAGGTCAAAAACAAGCCCGAACTACTGGAGACTCTCGAACAGAGAACAAACCACAATCATATGCTCATCTATGTCTACGCCCGCGTTGTCCTCGAAGGGATCAAGCTTGACGATCCGTTTGCCGACCGAAACCACCTGCGAAACGAGGCGCTGAAGGCGATAAACTTCTTGAAGGTCACAATCGAGGAGACCCCGAATGTCTTGAACCATACTACAGATGGAAAACAATTTGTTTTCCGCGGGGAGGAGCCTCTTTGGATTTGGGTCTTCCCCAAGATCCTTCGGTTACTAGGCCACTCTCGCTGCCTCGAGTTGATGGGAGACTTTGAGGGGTTCTTCCAATTTGTGATCCTCGTAGTGATTCGTACGGGATCCATGTGGAAACTTCTTCCGTCTATGTTGCTATACTTGCGTGAGACCAGCAAGGGTAAGTTTCGGACCCAGATGCATTTTCGAGATGAAGCCTCTGACTCCCGCAGCTCTCTTAACACACTTGCAAGAAATGGCGCCGAGTTCAACTGGGAAAGACGCTACTGTACACATGACGTTACCTTCGGATGGTACACTGGAGCTCTTGTTAGGAAAGCCTGGCACCATCTTTGTTCAACAGACCACATATACCATCCAACATGTCTCTCAGTGCATACATCAAGCAACCACGTTGACCTCGGCCTTGGCGCACCCGTCAATTTCTAAAACTCCGAGTCTCGTGTCGCGACCAACATTGTCTCAGTTGACACCTTGGCTGCTTGATTCTTTGCTTTCCCTTCGTGCTATGCAGAACACATGGCAGGCGATTGTGCCAAGTCCTCGAGCCGACTTGCTCAATATTGCTCTGAACCTGCTCCCAGACAAGCCACGCCCTGGTAACAAATCGTTCGACTCAAAGAAGGCATATGCTGTGCTGGCAGTGCTTTGCGCTGAGCTCGCTGCACATCCCGAAGAAATTCAGGGGACGAATGAGTCGAGCGTGGCAGCGAGAAAGACGGTCTCGCTGGCGCTCATCCGGCTAGCGCATGCATCGCTTGTAGATCGAGAAGTCGGCAGACTAGCAGCACCGAAGATTGTGTGTCCTTTGGAGTACGAGGTTCCTTCACTCGTCGAAGCCCCTGATTTCATAGTACGTTAAATGGACATGATGCTACGCCGAGCCTCGACTAATATACCTCCAGCGTTCCATTCAAGTTCTGAAGCAAGCATCCGGATCCATCGCACCAACAAGCCTCGACTCCGAAACACAGCCCGCTTCTTTCATTGACACCGACTTGCGTCAGGCAGTGGAAGACCTTGGTTTAGAGAATCTTGGCACGGACGACGCAGAACCCGCTTCAAAGCGCCTAAAGGCGTCTTCAGATGCTCCTGAACTGCGAGCGCTGATTTCTCGCATCTATGCGGTCTGTCAAGTGAATGAGACTGAAGAAACCGGAGGGCTGGAACATGTTTTCTTGTATGTGTCTTCCGTCTCTATGTGTTTCACACGTTAGCTCACATGTTGTCAGAAACCATTACAACAACCTCGGCGAAGACAACCAATGTCGAGCTATCGACCTTGTATCCCGCATATGCTGTGCAGTGGATATGACAGCAACTGTTGACGGCGATGTACGCATCGGCAAACGCAAAAGCGTGGGATGCGCATTCTGCGATCAGAAACCTGGGAGCTCTGAGAGACTCAACGCGACCACAGTCGAAGAAAAAAGAGAGGCTCAATCCATTTTTACAAAGCTTATTCATCTACCCAACTTCAAGGAGTCGAAGCGCCCGAGGATCGTCGCGATGATCTCTGCTAGACGAATCATCAATCACGCCGATGTCACGGAACTCATCGACCTCGAAACCTCTCCTCTGGGTCAGTGGTGTCTACAAAGCTTACATAGCTCTATCAGAGAGCTTAGGATTGCTTCTGGGTACGTTCTACTTCAAGCCAAAGATTCACCTCTGGCAAATAACAGCACCTGACTGATTGCAGACGCGCTCTTCCTCTATTCCTGAAAGACAGCAATTTGGAGGCGCTTGACTCGACTGTGATTATTCGCAATCGAAAGAATGCGCTCAGTCTGCTCAAAGCTGCTTTCGAGAAGGACGCAGTCATATTTCATGAAAGCGGAATCCTGGCCTGGGGTCAACTCGGACGGTAAGTACATGCAGCTTGAGTTGAAACCTGCTTACATGCGGTACGCTAACGACATCAGAGTCGTGACTGGAGACGAGCTCAACCTCGTTCTGCACAAGCTGCTTGAATACCTGGGTAGTATCAACAGTCTGATCGCATCATGTGCCTTCAACGAGGTAGAGCTCCTATGCGTTAACGCAATAGACAATGGCTGACGTGCTCCCTAGATTCTCAACCTAGCAGCCGCCCTGAGCACTACACCACGTCGTCTATTTGAACCATTCTGGAGGAACCTTGCATATTTCGCTGTTAAGGACATGCAAGCTCGACCGCAGATTTGCCGCGCGATTGCCGACCTGTTGCAGATATCTGTCACCGAATTTCTCCTGCTAATCCAGACCCACGCATTGCCCTGGCTGGTATTAATGAAAAAGAAGGAGGTGATTCAGAAAATCGCCGAGGCGCGAGGGGAAAGGGACATATGGGTCCCCATCCTGGACGCAGCCAATGCTGGCCCCATTATTGCGTTGTTGCTTATCCAAGATGTCCGCAATATCGAGCAGTTCGTTATGTCCAGGCTTGTTGAGGTGTCCTCTCACCTGGAGACGTTTACGTTGGTTGAGCTCGTGCAATCCGAAGTTTGTTCCATCGCCCTGGAGCTTTTCAAGGCTGCCGGGGAAGCGGATGAAACACGGAAGCCCCGCGTGAGTATACTATCTTCGCACTCAGTACTTTGCTACTTCGCCTGCTGACTCGTCCTAGATAATCGAGGCATTGGCATCCTTCTGTTCGATGATGATGATCGCAAACAAAGAGTCAAAGTCAAAGAAGGGGAACGTTATTGGGAAGTATCTACAGTCGTACATTCTTGGTCTCATGGCTCGCCTTGCGGATGTTATCAATGACATGACACTTGTATTCCCTCCAGCCGAAGAACAGAGGCGCTGCATACGTGCCTTGGAGGAGATGATCAGACATTGCAAAGGCTACGTTCGGATTGCACGCCCACAGGTGAGTAATTATTGGCTCTTGTAGGTGCTCTTCGTATTGACTTTCCTAGATTGCCGCATGCCTGCTGTCATCCCTGGCTCAGGATGATCTCAGAGAAGCCGCATTCTCTTGCTGGACGGCTCTGCTTACATGTCTCGACCCTGAAGACGTTGAGGTCTTGATTGAGACTACGTTCTTCGTTATCAGTCACTACTGGCTGCTCTTTAGTGATTTCTCTCGACACATGGCTAAAAACATGATCAGGAAGTTGATCACGGACTTCAGTGACAGCCTAAATGAATACATCACCAAGCTACCTTCCTTGGGTCATATAACGGAGTTGGCAGACATCGAAGCAGAACTCAATGCGGCGCGTCCAGTCCTTGACAACAGGAAGGCGTTTGTTCTATTTGCTGAGCGCACGGCTCACGAGAACTCGGGTGTCGTTTTACTGGCACTGACAGAACTCGAGACCTACCTTAGGCAGAGCGGTGGCTTCCTCCAGACTTCAGCCATCAGTCAACAGCCTGACCCGGTCGTACCCATGTTGCTCCGAGCCTTGCTAGACTGTGGAGCAAAATATAGTGCTATGCACCAGCTTGACATTGCCAGTCTTTGCACTCAGTGCATTGGCCTAGTGGGCTGCCTCGATTCTAATAGAGTCGAGGCGCCACGAGAGCAGAAGTCAATGGTCATTTTGAGCAACTTTGAGAGTGCAGACGAGACGACCGACTTCGTGTTGTTCATCTTCGAACAGATTCTCGTCAAGGCTTTCCTGTCCACGACAGACACTAAACTTCAAGGTTTCCTTTCTTTTGCTATGCAAGAACTGCTCGACCGGGTGGATATCAAGGCCGCGTTGGCTATGAAAGGAACCGGAATGCGGAATGGCGGTGACATCTACAGAAAATGGTTGGCATTATCGGAGAGTGATCGGACGGTGTTGTCACCTTTCCTTACCTCCCGATACATCCTGACACCCATGAACGTGGTTCCAGTAGAGTATCCCATCTTCCGCCCAGGAAAGCCCTACGGAAACTGGATGCGTTCATTCAGCATGGATCTCTTGGGCAAGGGGCAAAACGGGCACGCGGATCTCATTTTCGAGCCGCTGTGTCGCACCATTAAGGTAAAGGACTTGGCTGTTGCCGAGTTCCTGCTGCCATATCTAGTGCTTCATGTCATTCTAGGTCACCGGAGCACGCGAAAGGACCGAGATAATGTCATTGGAGAGCTCGTTGGCATCCTCCAGCACCAACCCGACGAGAACGCGCCATATTCGGAACGAGAAGACATGAAGCTGTACTGCGAGGTGAGTAAGATTTCGTGCGATATTGGCTACATTCACTAATCAAAGCAGGCTGTTTTCAGAGCTCTCGACTACGCGAGTAGATGGCTCCAAGAAAAGGACGCAAGACGGAAGAATGACGATGACCTGCCCGCGATAGCACTTGTTCAGGAATTGCTGAATACTATCCCGCCAGTGCTCATCTCCCAACGTGCGATGGATTGTAGAGAGTACCCGCGAGCGCTCTTCCACCTTGAGCAGCATGCCCAGCAGATGGAAGTTGAGAACAGCGACCCAAGGCAGAAAACCCTACTGCTTGAGCAGCTGCAGGATATTTATACTCAGATTGACGAACCTGACGGACTGGAAGGGATTTCCGCTCACCTGCACGTCTTGGATATCAACCAGCAGATTCTCAGCCACAAGAAGGCAGGCAGGTACACTGCAGCCCAAACTTGGTACGAAATCAAATTGGCCGAAGAGCCAGACAATGTTGATGTGCAAATTGATCTGCTCAATTGTCTGAAACAATCCGGCCAACACGGTAAGAGCAGAAGTTACCAAGCTACGGGTCACGTACAAAGGCTAACACGATTAGATGTACTGCTCAATTATGTTGAAGGTATGCGAACAGAACCTTCAACGGAGAACAGGATTGTGCCATACGCAGTTGAAGCAGCATGGGCTACAAGGAGGTGGGATACTTTGAATAAGTACACCAGCCGATTCCATGGCAGTCCTCTGGAGGATTTCAACGTCAGCATCGCCAAATTGTTCAACGCTTTGCAGCAGAGGGGGGGCGGCAGCGATACATTTCCTGAAATGCTGCAAAGTATGAGAGAAAAAGTCGCCTCCGCCATGACACACGCGGCAACGTCATCTTTGCAGGCCTGCCACGACCTAAGACTCAGGTGTCATGTACTTACTGACCTCGAGATTATTGCCGGAACTCAAGTTTCGGAGGGCGATGCACATCAAGAGGTGCTAAAAATGCTCAACCGTCGCCTTGAGGTTCTTGGGGCGTACGTAGGCGATAAGCAGTATCTTTTGGGTATTCGCAGAGCCGCCATGGAGCTTTCGCGGTATGTGTAGCGTTGCCGTCAAGCAAACCTGAGCTAACACTTCACAGGCCCAAGTTTTCGGATCTTGACATATCTTCGTTGTGGCTCTCTAGCGCTCGGTTAGCCAGAAAAGCCAACTCAACCCACCAGTCGTTTAATGCCGTGCTACATGCTTCCCAACTTGGCGACGGAGCTGCGGTCATTGATAATGCCCGCCTTCTGTGGAAAGATGGCCACACGCGCAAGGCCATCCAAGTCTTGCAGGGCGCCATTGAATCAAATAATTTCATGACGCAGACCAACAGTTCCTCCTCTGTCCGTGGGATGGATGCTCAGCAAAGGCAGTTGACCGCCAGAGCTCAACTGATGCTCGCCAAATGGCTGGATGCTGCCGGCCAGACAAACCATCATACTCTGCGTGAGAAATATCAACAACCTCCTCTGACAGCCAGCACTTGGGAAAAGGGCCACTACTACCTGGGGCGTTACTACAAGAAAGTGCTGGAATCTGAGAAGACGCTCAAGGCAGACGATCAAACCGACCCCTGCATCCAGGGCGAGTATACCAGACTCGTCGTTGAAAATTACCTTCGGTCTCTGAACTACGGCACCAAATACATCTACCAGACCATGCCAAGAATTCTTACATTGTGGCTTGAGTTCGGAGCGCAGGTTGACAAGGCCCCCGAAGGCAAAGTTTCACTGTCTCGTGAGCTCCATAGGAGGCGAACGGATCAGTTGAACCTCCTTCACCGGTTCCTCGACAAATCCATAGCCCGACTGCCGGCCTACATATTCTACACGGCACTTCCACAAGTTGTAGCAAGAATTGCTCATCAAAACAAAGATGTCTATGAGCGGTTGATGCAGATAGTCATCAAGGTCGTGCAATCCCACCCTCGGCAAGCTCTTTGGAGTTTGTTTGGAATCATGACAACGAGACAAGCCTCAGAACGTCGGGTCAGGGGTCAACAGATCTTGCAGGCGCTGAGGGGAGTCACCAGGAAGGTTGAGGGGAGCAGCTATGACCTCAGCAAGCTCTTAAGGATGGGTGAGAAGCTTGCAGAACAACTCCTATTGGCTTGTAACAACGGCGATTTCCAAAGCAACAGGACGACCGTGGCCAGCATCACGCGCGATCTGAATTTCAACCACAAGTGCACGCCTTGCCCTCTGGTGGTGCCTATCGAGTCATGTCTGGCGGCTGCCTTGCCGACACTGACTGACAATGTCAAGAATCACAAGGCTTTCTCGCGAGACGTTATTACCATCGACTCCTTCCTGGACGAGGTACTGGTTCTGGGATCCTTGGCCAAGCCACGACGACTGACCGCACGCGGAACGGACGGAAAGAGCTACATGCTTATGATCAAACCGAAGGACGATCTACGCACCGACCAGCGTCTGATGGAATTTAACAGTATGATCAATAGATCGCTGAAGAGGGATCCCGAGGCCAGCAGACGTCAGTTGTACATCAAGACATATGCCGTCGTGCCTCTGAACGAGGAGTGCGGTATCATCGAATGGGTTGATGGCTTGAAGACACTGCGCGAGATTCTTCTGGATCAGTATAAATCCCGCCAGGTACACCCCGACTACAACCAGATCAAGCGGATGATGGCTGAGGCGGTGACGGGACCGAACAATATCAAGATGTTCACAGAAGGCGTCTTGGGGACGTTCCCGCCCGTGCTACAGCATTGGTTCGTCCAGCGTTTCCCTCACCCTTCGACTTGGTTCTCCGCAAGGCTCAAGTACACCCGTTCCTGCGCCGTTATGTCGATGGTCGGCACCATCCTCGGACTCGGCGACCGACACGGCGAGAACGTTCTGTTGGAGCGCGACAACGGCGGCATCTTCCACGTGGACTTCAACTGCCTCTTCGACAAGGGCCTGACGTTTGCGCAGCCAGAGAGGGTGCCGTTCCGCCTGACGCACAACATGGTGGCGGCGATGGGCATTTACGGATACGAGGGTCCCTTCAGGCACTGCAGCGAGCTGACGTTGGGGATTCTGCGGCAACAGGAGGAGACGCTGATGACGATTCTTGAGGCGTTCATTTACGATCCCACGCTGGATCTGCAGAAGGAGAAGAAGACGAGCCGTCGGCAGGATGGGGCTCCTAGGATGCAGCCGCAGCTTGTCGTTGACAGCATCAAGCGCAAGGTTAAGGGGCTGATGGGGCAGGACACGATCCCGTTGGGCGTGGAGGGCCAGGTGGAGGAATTGATCAAGCAAGCTGCTGATCCAAGGAACCTCGCGGCTATGTATATCGGGTGGTGCCCATTCTTGTAAGTTTGGGTCTTTGGGGAAAATTCTATGAGGAGATATCATGATGGGCTAGGGATGGCGTCGAGGGACGACCAGAGGTATGAATAAGGGGTTTGGGAGCGGACATTGGTGTTGGCGGTGGTGCAACGGGTGTATACGGTAGTATGAGTGGCTTTTCTCGTACATGTAATTATTGCATTTCCAATCAAAACTTAGAGAAGCTGTCCCTCAAACACTTCTCTATCTTGATTTTCTACGAGAGACATCTCTTCGTTGTGTAGGTGTGTTGTCTTCATAAATGAAATAAGTCGCTTGCATTCCATTCGGTCGTCTTATCGGCCACCACGTGTTCGGACGTTGGGAAGCTCTCCAGAGTTCGGGGCCGCTGCCTGGCAGCGATTAGGCTCCCGCGCAGGGGTTTAGGGGATAGAGACACTGAAGCTCAGGAGCTTTGGGCAGCTAAAATGGGACCGGGAGACAGAAGACGAGAGAAATTGTCACTGCCACCTTCCGGGCAACCAGCAACGCTCCCAACTCTTTCCTTTTCCCGTCTTGAGGTGCTTCTTCCAAATTCTGTCATTACAACACCTCCCTCCAGTTTCTTCTTCTCTCAGACACCCTCATTGTTTTCCCTTTCTTCGAGAAGGCCGTTTCCCACAGTCAATCGCTCATCAAAGATATTTTCAAGATGCCTGACCACCGCATTGGTAAGTTTTCAATTTTCTGTGATCTCGACGTTCGATTTGGCAGCTTGTCTGGAGCTACGGTCGCGTCTGGCGAATACCCGGCGACGCGTCCAAATTTCGACCTCACGTCATAGGCGACCGAAATTCCAATCTCAAACGTCCACTTCAAGCTCGCCCAACACCAGCATATATACGCATGCTAATACTCACTTTTCCTCAATGCAGAGGTGTCACCCAACAACCGCGCCGGATGCTCCGATGGCGTGTGCAAGAAGGCCGCGGCCAAATGCTTGAAGGGTTCCCTTCGCTTCGGCACATGGACCAAGATTATGGATCATGAGTCCTTCAAGTGGAAGCATTGGTATGTTGACCCCTTTTTCTCCCTCCGCCACAATCCACTTCCCCATTCGCCACGTTTTACTCTCATCCCGGCCAGATAACGACATACTAACATTATATGTTCAAGGGGATGTGTTTCTGGAGAGGTGATGAAGCATGTCCGGGAAGTTTGTGAAAAGAACGGACAGTTCGACTTTGACGCCTTTGACGGTTATGCTGAGTTGATGTCAGTTTAGTTCCCTTCCTCTCTCACCACTGGAACATGATGTTAACACGCAAGTCCAGCGACCACCCCGACCTTCAGCGGAAGATTCGTAAGGCCATAGAGCAGGGTCACATTGCCGATAAGGACTTCAATGGTGATCCCTGGATGAACAAGCTCGGCCAGCGCGGCATTCGCGGCAAGAAGCCCAAGGGCTGGGATGATGATGAGGAGGAAGATGTTCGTCTCCCCGCTGTGCTTGTCCAGATTTACATACTGACGCCTGAACACAGGAGGAAGAGGCCCCCGCCAAAGGCAAGAAGCGCGGTCGCAAGGCCGCCGATGACGAGGAAGAGGAGAAGCCTAAAGCCAAGCGCACCAAGAAGGCCGCCGTCAAGCCTGAAGTCAAGGATGAGGACGAGGAGGAAGAGAAGCCCAAGCCAAAGGCCAAGCGCGGCAAGGCCGCCGTCAAGGCCGAGGTCAAGGATGAGGAAGCCAGCGAGGAAGAGGCGCCCAAGCCGAAGCGTGGTGCTCGTAAGTCCGCCGTCAAGAAGGAAGAATCGGATGCCGAGGAGGAGGCCCCCAAGCCTAAGCGTGGTCCCGCCAAGAAGGCCGCTGCGGCGAAGGTTAAGGTCGAGGAGAGCGAGGAGGGGGTCTCTGCTGCCGAGCCCGCGCCAGAGATGACTCCCAAGTCTGAGGAAGAGGAGGAGGAGAAACCCGCGCTTAAGAGAGCCAAGGCGGCGCCCAAGGGTCGGAAGAAGGCTGCTCCAGCTGCTGAGGCGGAGAAGCCCAAGTCGACGCGGGCCAGCCGTTCCCGCAAGTGAGTCTCTGGGAGAAGCCCGCGTATCGAAATGTAATGCTAACCTTGCTAGGTAAATCTTGCTCATGCTAAGGGCAGACCTGGGCCATTCTCCCAAGTCACCTTGTATCAGAAGCTGTCTGCATAGATATGTCGAACTGCTGTGGACTCGATCGCCAGCAGATGTCTTACTTCCCGTCTTGTCGTTTCAAAGTTTCTTCTTTCGACTTCATACCCTACTGATGAGGCTAAACCCATACCCTACCCGCCTGAAAGCGAGGGTGCTGTACATTACTCCAATTTGCTTTGTCTTGTGTCGTCAAAAAAGTTGTTGAGGGTCTGAAAAGCAGTCTTCATGATGATGTGGAAAGCCCAGGCCTATCGGTGTCACATAGGCGTCGATGAATAAGATGTTGTATATTGCAATCGCCTCCCTCTATAGCTAGGTGTCCTGTGACTATTCCTTAAGTGGCTCTCTGACCGGGCCCCGGCTTTTGGAATTGGCCAAAGCCAGTAGAGGGTGATTTCGAAAGAGACTCGATTAGAAGCACATAAAACAGCAGCATGCCGCCATGAAGTCACCGACGAAGCACTTTGCAGCACACTTATCAGAGAGTGCCCCTTGGAGGCCTTCTTCAATTAAACCTAGAAGACAAATTTGACATGGTGCGGCAGTGCAGAATAATATGGAAGCCAAGACTCGTCTTTAGTGTCGCTTGGAAAGGGTCTGCGCTTGAGAGGAAATAAGGCCCTTCTGGCTGGACACTGCCTCTGTCGAACGCAAGCCACGGTCTTTGACTAGCTAATCTAACGGCTTGTGTTTAGGTGGTGGTCTCGAGCAAGGCTCTGCGAGAGGAGATTACCATCACGTTAAAAGATCGGGCGAAGAGAATGCTCCCATGGAAGAAGTTGATTCTCCTTATCTAGATGAAAAGGCAAGCTAGGCGTCAGCGAGGCTGTATAGAGAGGATAGTAAGTAGGTAAGAAGCCTAGTCCACAGTCCTCGCTATGATATAAAAAGACATCTTCCCTGTCTTCTCTGTCGAGACTAAGTAGCAAGCAACGTGTGTTGGATGTGATTGTGCCAGCATGTGTCTTGCTCCGTGCAGATTTCTCGCAGAGTCTACCGCGCGAAGTTGTACATTAACGAGGCTAGTAATAAAATGAATTACTTCAATCGGCAGAAGCTAAGTGTCTTCGACGTCTCACTGTTCACTACTCCCATCCCGTCTATTCACTTTTGAATACTCAACTAGAGCAAGTCGGAGATTTACGAAGAATTTGCTTTTATTTCTGAGGCTATGTTTTTAGGATTCTAAAGGTTGCCAGTACCAGACTTTCAAAGAGGGCGGTGAGACACTTGTTGAGAGACTTGAGGAGATTTTCGACTCCTTCAAGCACCTTCTCTTTCTCGCCTCATTGCCTTTGTGGATTGTTCTGTATGACACTGCAGCGTTGTGTACTAGGTCCGCTCTGCGCCTTGGCAGTTGAATGGTACTTCCCGGCGATTGTCATGCTTCCTTCTTCGAATTCGATGGCCTGTAGCTATAAAAGGTCGAGCAGTTTTGGATCTGGGTGATTCCCGCACCCCAGGCTGAATGGGAATGCGTAGTGTATCTCGATAATACCGAACCAGGCATCAAATATTCTCGAAGCGCTGTATGCTAGTCTGTTCTCTAAGCCTAGGGATTCACGTCCCCTAATGTTCGTAAGTATATTTTGGATATCTCATCGTCCACTAGTTATTACCCTCTACTTCACTTCTGAATACCCAGCAGGAGGCATGTTGAGGTGTAGGGCGGAGTGCTAGGCAGCTAGGTGACTTGGAGCGCTCGAGCGAGCTTAGACTAGGCTGTTTTCTGCTCCTGGGCGATGACCTTCTACTTTTTCCATAATGGCAACCCCTGTCATGGGGATCCCCGAAGAAGCCAAAAACGCGTTGAAGGGCCAGAACTGATTGCTGCGTAGGACTTTTGGTGTATTTATAGGGAATAGGGGGAGGGGACCCCATCAAGGCTTCGGCCTCGGCCTCTGTTTTGAAATTACATCTATCACGGTTTGCCCGCCAAGTTGACGACATTGTATTGATACGGATCGTCTTTAATTGATTTTGAGAGGCTTCCGATATGCTACATATACAAGTCTGTTTCTCTCAAAGTGACAGTCGTCTGACCTAGCATGTGGCTCAGACCCTTGAGAAAGACTGGTTGTTGGTCATATCGAGGCCCTGACATACTACTGCATTCCCAAGAATCGGGAGAGGACACAGGAATCACGCTTACATCGAGTTGCTCAGGTGAGAGAACAATGAGTCTTTCCAACTTCCAGCTTGATCACAGGCGAAGTTCAGCTCCCTTAAGCAGCCAAAGTCAGGATTTTTTGAGTCATAAGTTCGTTATTTGCTCCTGATACAATCTAAACTCCGCCCTATTTCTCCGCCGCTATGTTGTATTCATAAATCGTTACACATGGTGCTAGGCAGAAACCCCCACATGTTGGGTCGAAAAAAGTGAAGTAAAGACACACATTTGCCCGCCCGGCAGATCCGGTTTCTCTAATGCAGCACATCCCATCCCGAAAATGATATGTTCTGTAGTCCGAATCCAAATGTAAGGCGCGCCTGTCTCAGGCCCCCCGTCAAAAGTGCCGAACGTCGGCTGGGTATTCGATTTGTATGTTCCTTGGGCTCACTTGTGCTGTGTACTATGCAATGCTTAATAACGTCGGGGACGTTGGCTTTGGCTATCGTAGACGACCTCGCGCTCATAGACTCGCTCGTCATCGTACTTGCTGCTTGGTCCGCGGTGGTGGTGATGATGAGAACGGCGGTCCCAATCGTCATGCACCCACTCTCTCTCATACTCGCGAACGCGCTGCTTGCGGAAGCGGCGGATGTCGTCTGATACCTGCACCAGCTCAAGCACATCATCCTGCATTCTATTAGCACTTGTCATCAACCCAACGAAGACACAAGCAATACTTACGTATTTCAGGTATTGCATAATGTAGAAAAAGTATTCAGTCTCCTCGAAATCATATCCAAGCTGAATAATGGCATCGCGAATAACCAAGTCCTTTGTGATCTCGGTCCACATCTCGTTTCGCTTTGATGGAGGTCCGCGGCGCGGTGCGCGATCCTTTGTCTTCTCAATCTCGATCTCAGTCTCGCGGTCATAAACCTGGAGGCTGAGACGGTCTCGGGATTCGCGCGGCGAGGGTTCGGCGGGAAGTGGGGCCGGCGCCGAGATGGGAGCGCCCTCCCGTTCGGGAATGAACTGTGCCCGCCTCACACCGTTGTAACGCTGCCAAGTGACCTCGGCAGAGCCACCTCCAACGCCATCCATACGGACACGCTCGGTGCCGGGCGGGACATCGACAATGGCCCAGTCTTTGGTGGCACCGTTCCAGGCCTCGCCCATCTTGCCGCGCGAGTCGATCTTGGAGGTGATGTACTCGGCTTCCTCGTCGACGGGCGTGCGTGCGGCCGCAGAATGAGCTCTACGGCGTGATCCGCTGTGGTAGTGACGGTCGTCGATCCGGAGACGGTCGGTACTCAAGACGAGTTCTCTGTTGTCCTGGAAAGCGGGGGATCTGCGCTCCCTGCTAGGAGATCGGTGGCGGCTTTGCGAGCGGTGAATGTCAATGTCGGTTCCTCTGCGGGAGGTGGTGATATCGATATCCAGCTCCCGCTCTTCGGTGCGGGTCTTCGGGCGGGGAGCGGGACGAGGGGGAGGCGGCGGGCTGGGCACGCGGGTGACACCTGGATGCATTAGACCTCTCGGGGGTCTTATATCCTGCAGTTTGTCCTTGTACTCACCATGATCGATGTCTCTGTAGTGCGTAATGACTTCTCTTTCGATCGTGGGGCCGCGAATGACCTGAGGTTGAGGCGGCGGTGGGGGCGGTGAGGGCGAGGGTGACGGAACCCGCTCTCTTTCCCTCTCACGCTCGACGATGCGCACGCCGACGCGGCTGCGTTCTCTGGCTGGGGGAGGAGACGGCGAGCGTTGCCTCTCAACGTATCGAGCGCGGATCATTTCCGGAGGAGGGCCGCGGGATGGACTGCGAATATCTCGCTCGCGCTCGGTGACGCGGACTCGGGAGCGCTCGAGCTCTTGCTCATGATGAACGTGCGGAGGTGTCAAGCTGCGGGCTCTGCGTACAACACGCTCACGGTAAACAGGGCTAGGGCTGCGGGCGCGAGGCCGTGACAGCTCTCTTGATTCAACCTCTCTGCGGCTCAGAACAAGAGCTCCGGCTTCGGGAGGACGCTCATCGCGCAGGAAGCGGAGGCGGTCACCTTCACGCTCGCGCTCCTTGACGCGGACATCAACTTCGTCAAAGGCAACCCGGCTTTCGGCGCGCTGGCGGCGGGGGGCGTCGTAGAAACGCTCCTCAAAATCGTTGGACCGGTAAGCCATGTTTTGTTGGCGAAACGCAAACGGCTTTTCGGTTTAGGAGAGATGTGACGGAGAGGCGTCCGTGAGTGTTTGTTTGTGAGTTTATCTGAACAGGTGGGATGAATGGCGGGGTAGTAAGCCGGTGGTGATTGTGTAGCGCAGGTGATAGCGTGAGCGTTACCGACACTAGACGAGACAATACACCAAAATCCTGCGCAAACAGAAGAGGCGACGCTGAAAAGAGGATGAACCAAATGTGTCTTGTAGCGCTGGGAATGAGCGACACACGACGTAGGGTAGTGGAGGAGGTACTTTAATGTGAGGCCGAGCCTAGAGCTGAGCCGGCTGGGAAAGAGGGGGTGAAGAGAAGGGAGTGAGTGAGTGAGAAAGAGAGAGAGGTGAGAGGGAAAAGAGTCAGAGTAGGAGCAACGTCGTCATACCACAGTAGGAGAGCCGGGTATGTATGTATGTAGGACGTAAGTAGGCAAGTAGGCAAGGTGGTATGTAATTAAGACAGCCGACAGGTGATATAGGGCGGCACCAGCAGGCTGTATGTGTGTGGTCCTTGGAGGTTCGTGGGGGATCTCTGGCCTTGGTGGGTGGAGGACTGAGAGTGGAGGGGGACAAGAGAGGGACGGGAAGGCATTGGAAATGGGAGGGGTTGGCCGGCTCAAGAGATGTTCTTGCTCACCACAGGCTTATTAGCGGGTGCGGTCGAGGACTGTCAAGCTTGCTACTCGAGTCGAGGCCAGTCCCAGCTGTGGGCAAGCGCCGCGCGGTGAACCGCTGTCACTGAGCAGGGGTATTCCCGACGTTTTGTCTATGTTGCTGCGGGAAGCGGGACGGTAGGGATGCCGTCGCAAAGACAACGGAGGGTGTCGAGGCCCTGTTGGGGTCCGCGTGTGTGCACTTTAGGTAGGGTAATTTGGGCCGAGTTTGGGAATTGAGAGTTTGCGGACGGCAGTGTTTTCAAGACTACGATATTCAGATGCCAAACTTTGTGTTTGGAGTTACATACATGTGCGGCGGTCACAATGGGTGCCCTATCGTGAGCCCTTGACGATCGTCGAATGCCCAGTCAAATAAGGTAGAAACGGGAGGAGATGGGGAAAATGGGAACAAGGCTCCAGCGATCCGGGAATCAACGATGCAGGCTGCGCTACGTTGGGC